ATTTTCTCAGACATTTGCTGGCCCGATTGTCTGACGTGCTCATAAATGTCATTCATTTTGTTCCGCAAGTCATTTGCATAATCGGTTATACTGCGTGGGGCATCAGGTGGTATCGCGGTGATCAGGTCCGCAGGCAGCCGTAATTCTCTTCCAAAGTTTGCGAAAGCTGGTGTCACTGCTGTACTTTCGTGAACAGAACTTCGATATGACAACAAAAACGGTTGTATGTGCTTGTCCCAATCTCGTTGCCGATTGTCTACAACTTTTGATAGGTACCTCTCCAATGTCTGATTAAATCGTTCCACCATTCCATCAGATTGCGGGTGATAAGAAGTCGTTCTTGTTTTATGAGTACCAATAACTCGGCAAGTTTCCTGGAATATTTGAGACTCAAAATTCCTTCCTTGATCGCTGTGAATCTCTAAAGGTACTCCAAAACGACAGAAGACTTCATGAACTAGTTTATCTGCAACTGTTGAAGCTTCTTGATTTGAAATGGCGAAGACTTCTGGCCACTTAGTGAAGTAATCCATCACAACCATGAAATACTTGTTACCGCTTTCACTCTCCGGAAACGGTCCCGCCACGTCAATGGCTATTCTCTTCCATGGTGCACCCACATTGTACAACTTCAATGCACCTCTACTACGAGTCTGAGGTCCCTTTACAGCCGCACAACTTGTACATTTCCGACACCAGTCCTCGACATCGTTTCGACAGTGTACCCAGTAAAACCGTTCTCGGATCTTCAGTAGAGTTCGTTTACCTCCCAGATGGCCTGCTGAATAATCATTATGGTACAGCTGTAGAACATCCGGTACTTTAGTTTTAGGGACAACCATTTGTAAATGACAGCTGTCTCCCCGAACATTTTCCCATTTACGGCACAGAACTCCATCCTGAACCAGCAAGCTGTCCCACTGGGCCCAATAGCTTTTAGTGGTTGAACTCATTGCTGAGACGTCGCTCCACTTAGGCTTGGGAGCACTGGCCTTCATCCATTCCAGGATCGGCTTGATGTCCGGATCTTCCTGCTGTGCACGTTGAAAGCTGTCCTTCCACTCGTTGCTGAGGTGGTCTGCCCTGAGCATCCTCACGGATACCACTTCCTCACTCTCTTGCCTAGTACAATGTTTGCAATCTTCAGGACAAGGTCTTCGTGATAATGCATCTGCGTTGCCATGAGATTTCCCGCTGCGATGTTCGATCTCAAAGTCGTATTCCTGCAGTAGTTCAATCCACCTCGCAACTTGTCCTTCTGGATTTTTAAACTGCAATAGCCATTTTAGTGCAGCATGGTCAGTTCGTAAGTGAAATTTTCGCCCCAGAAGATATTTGCTAAAATTCTGCAACGACTTTACCACAGCTAGCAATTCGCGTCTTGTGACACAATAGTTCCTTTCCGGTTTTGACAACGACTTGCTGAAGTACGCTATCACGACCTCTTGGTCACCATTCCGTTGAGACAACTCACCGCCAAGTCCTATATCACTTGCGTCTGTGTCTACTATAAATTCTTTGCATGCATCAGGGTATCCCAAAATAGGTGTTTTGCACAGACGGTCCTTGAGCTCCTGGAATGCGATATTACAACTTTCATCCCAGCAGAAATGTCGCTTCTCCTCGGTTAGCTTATGCAGAGGTTTGGCTATATCTGCAAAGTTCTTCACAAAACGTCGGTAGTAGGAGCACAAACCCAAAAATGCTCTAACCTGCGTCTTGTCTTTTGGAACCGGCCAATCCTTTACAGCTGCGATTTTCTCTGGATCCGTGCGGATACCTTCTTCCGACACTACATACCCCAAAAAGTTGACTTGCCGTTTGAATAGTGAACATTTCTTCGGACTCAACTTGAGGTTGGCACTCTTAATCTTCATGAGCACGCGTTCCAAGTTTTGAAGGTGTTCCTCAAACGTACGGCCCACGATGATGATGTCATCCAAGTAGACCAGACAGGCGTCGCCAATTAGCCCGGTAAGTACAAGTTCCATCAGCCTTTCAAACGTTGCTGGAGCATTGCACAACCCAAACGGCATTACTTTAAATTGCCACAGACCCTTTCCCGTCGAGAACGCAGTTTTCTCCTAGTTCTTAGGGTCAGTTTCACTTTGCCAGTAGCCATTTTTCAGGTCCAGCGTGCTAAACCACTTTACTCCTGTAAGTATGTCCAGCGTGTCGTCAATTCTTGGCAAGGGATAGCTATCCTTCTTAGTAACGTCGTTCAGACGGCGATAGTCAACACAAAACCGCAAGCTGCCGTCCTTCTTCTTTACCAGTACCACGGGTGAACACCATGGACTAGATGAAGGTTCAATAACACCATCCTTCACCATTCCCTTAATCATGGTTTCCACTTCCTTTTCACGTGCTACCGGCAATCGTCTTGGCCGCTGACGGATAGGCAACTCTTCACCTGTGTTTATTTTGTGTTGAACTAAACCAGTCTTTCCTATGTCAGCATCGTTTGATGAGAATACATCGGCGTACTCGAGTAACAACTTCTTCGCCTTGACCAATTTGTTCGGGGACAGAACACTGCGACAGTGCAGTGCACAGACTGCGACTGGGGGTCCCACTCGATATATATTGGCACTGACGTAACCAAGCCACTTCCTCACAAGTACCAACCAGTGTGCCTTTTTCTATAATCTGTTCCCGGTCGCAAAGGTTCAGCACACGTACTCCTGAGATGTCAGTGGTCCTGACCAAGGTTCGAGCTACTTTCCATGGAAGGTCATTGTTTACCCTTTCCACAAGTACACAACGGTGTACGCTTGCCCAGCGTTTCGAGGAAGACTAACCGGAACAATCGTTTCCGATCTCGGCGGAAGAACAATCTTCTTGATGCTGTACACGTTCCCTGGTAACGCACCTTCCATAAAAAGTTCCTCCTGTCCACATTTCAAAACACCTTGCTTAACGTCGATCTCACAACAATTATTCCTCATAAAGTCTAGGCCTAGGATGCAGTCGTCCATTACATCAGCCACGATGACATTATGCAGGTAGATCACGTTGCCTAGCTTCAACTCCATCTCCTTCTCTCCACGGACGGGTATACGCTGACCGGTGGCTGTTACCAAATTAATGCGTTCTCGGTTGTATGCGGAGTCCCCAAGGAACTGACTTATAAGTTGGGAACTAACAACCGTACGAGAGGCTCCAGTGTCTATGGTCAGCTTACACGGCATTCCGTTGATCTCGCCCTTTATGATTAGGCTGTTCCCATCATGGGTTTGTGAGATCGAGATCCTTGGGGCTCTTTTAACATCAGCCAGCACCCGCCCTGCAGTTCTGGCTTTTACTCGTTTCCCTGCTGCTGCTGGGCGGTGCTGTTGGCCGCACTACCCTCCTGAGATCGTTCAATTTCCCTTTCTAGGGTTCGCTTAGGGCAGCTGGATCAAAGATGGCCCTTTTCCCCACAGCCATAGCACCTTGGGCTGTATCCTTTGTTGCGGTCGCGAACTGTAGCTGCTGCAACCTCCCTGACGCGATGGGAACAATGATCCTTTCGCACGGCTTCCACTTCCAGTGCATGGTCCAAGGCGTCCTTAAGCGTCTCGTGGTGCCCGAGCCTCACAGCAGCTCTGACTTCCAGGTCGCAAATGCCGTCGATGAATGTCTGCACCAGGTTCCCTTCAATGAGCGCAGGTACAGACCGGTATGCTTTTCGCACCAGCTTCTCCACTTCTAGAGCCCACTGCTGCAGGTTTTCGTTGATGCGCTGCACACGATCTTTAAGCTGCGCACGAAAGACGTGTTCCAGGTGAGCGTCGCCATATCTCGCCTCCAATGCCTCAAGGAGTTGCTCATAAGTCACTTCCTCATCGAGAGCTTCCAGAACTGTTAAGGCCTGGTCGCGCAGACCTAGTGTGAGAGCAGTCATGGCCTGACTTTTATTCCAGCCGTTCGCCTTCATAACAGCCTCGAACTGGATTTTGTAGGCTGACCAGGAAGAAGTCCCGTCGAATGGTGGCACCTTGAACCCACGTAGCGAAGGTGTAGTAGCTACTACGGGAGCTGTAGTTCCCTCCCCAAGTTTGAGTTCGTCAAGTGATTTCCTCATGTCAGCCATTACGTTGTCAACCCGATTGTTCACTTGGTCAATTCGGGTTTCAGCTTCCGACAGGCGGTTTTCATGTTGAGCAACCTTATCCTTCACCTCCCTTATCTCTTTCCCGAAGGTAGCGTGAAGGTCCTTCATGAGAAGCATCTGTTCCTCCTGTCGGCGGGCCTGTTCTGCTTGTCCGCTCTGCAGCTGCTCTTTCAACTGACGGACCTGTTCCTCCTGTCGGCGAGCCTGTTCCTGCAGCATCACCATCAGGGCGCCTAAATCAGGTGCTGCAGACGCAGGAGCTACTGACGAACCGGCCTCCGTTGCCGGCGGCTGGCCCTCGACGTCTGCGGCGTTGCACCAACAAATCTTCTCTGGTCCGTCTCATGCTGGCGTTGACTGCGGGTATGAACACCCTCCGTTTCCTCCTTAGGTAAAATTGGCATGATTTTATCCCACTTCTGACACCAATTGTTACGAGCTTGAGGTTCGTGACAATAAAAATTGCCGATAAAATTACCTAAATTAACACTGTAATTTACTTTACACAAATTAAAACTTAAAACACTAATAATTAAACACACTAATTCACTTTATTCCGCTCCGAAGCTTCGCTTGTGTCGCCGAGTTCAACTCTGCCCCGATCGCATCTTGCAGCGCCTATTTATATAATTAGCAAAGAAGCGTCCCGAACATTCAAGTAAATGCGCGCCAGGCAACGAGTATTCGAGTGTAGATTTTCCAGAAACTTAGTTCTTCGGGTGGCGCTGTCGGTCGAAAGATTTGTGATGTCATTTACTGCAAAGCTCCCCTCGCTCTCGTTCCTGACACTAGATGGCGCTAGTTGACTTATTCATGCAACAATATGTTCAGTCACATAGTGCTATAGTATAGTCATTAAATAATTAAAAAAATCATGTTATATAACAGTACATGTTGCTTACAGATTCGGGCAGTGAGTCGGGATCTCACAAAAGCGGCCGCGCTCGCACCAACAACGCCGCCGACGGCAAACCGACGAGAGTTCGCACCGTACTCAATGAAAAGCAACTTCACACACTCAGGTAAAGGAACTATTTATTTCAATCAATATGTATATATACCATGTATGTACCGTGTAGTGACGGTGTAAAAACATCCACTACGCCAGTCATCCCGCGGGTGTCGTAAGAGGCGACAGAGGGAAACAAATCAGGAGATAGGCAGCATCTTCCTAATAACGAAGAAAAATGTTCAATCTGCGTAGAGATGTTGCTATTTCTTTCTCATCTACCACGGAGGTGCTCTGAGGAATTGTTTGGATTAATCCCAACCGCCAAATTTCAAGAATGCACATCGCGACAAACTGCCCGATAACATCGACACCATCTGGACACTTAGCGGTCCACCACTGTACATTACACTACGAGCTTTCTTCCGCGTACGACCTCTCTGTGGAGTCGTTTACAACCGACGAGTTTTCCGGACCGATATGACTTCAGGAACTTCAAGAAAAGAGCTTAATCCTTTCTAAAATGCCGGCAACGCAATTGCAATTCTCCTGGTGTTTCAGTTGTTCATAAGCGACGGTAGTCACTTACCATCAGGCGACCCGTATGCTCGTTTGCCCCCTCTTATATAAAAAGAAACAACTAAACTGTGCTAAGCGTGGCAACTATGGCAAATATCCCACAGTCTAAAGGAAGGCCTTGTGTGGATAATGGAATATATAAATTTATTAATCATTCATCCATTATATATTTATACGTGGTAGAACAATGCTGTAGTTATATTGGTAGTATATAGTTGTAGCACGAATGGGTCGGCTCGACCGGGGAAGAACCACGCTCTCATAGAATACTAGCGTAATATAGCAGCTTAATGCTGCTTTGTTTCGTATAGTAAGTGTAGAGAACCGGAGACTCTTTCTACTGGAAACGAAGCATTGCATCTTAATTCTCACAGGTGACAACGCATCTGCATTTTGATTCGTAATCGAGGATAGATGTAGATGTCTTTGGGCCACAGCAAACGCTTACCATCAGGTGGACTGTGTGCTCGTTTGTCACCCTATCCTATAAAAAAACCTCTTAAAGTACACTCCTGAAAATAGTGTGTACTTAGGCGCCTTGAGATACTATCGTCATTGACCTTCTTCTGACTCAAGATGCCGTGAAGAAATTTTGAAACAAATAATTACAAAGAATTATTTCTTAATATACTTGACACTGGCAAAAGTAAAACAGAACGAGGTCATTACCAAAAAAAATTAAATTTAAAATAAACATTTTCAAGGACCTGTTACGCGGCCAACCCACGCCCTGACGCGCTGATGAAGGAGCAGCTCGTGGAGATGACGGGCCTCAGTCCAAGAGTTATCAGGGTTTGGTTCCAAAACAAACGGTGCAAGGACAAGAAGAAGACCTTGCAGCTCAAAATGCAAATGCAGCAGGAGAAGGTGGTAATTTATCTTTTGGTATATGGTTCTTTACTTATTTACTAAGTTTAGTCTAGGAAAACTTCGGAATTCTTCTTCGGAATCTTTGACATTACGTTTTAATGTCTGGCACTTTAATAGTGAATCTGCCAGCTAAGCTTGATGATTATGGTAAATCCTTTCTGCAATGGGGGACGCCTATCTCCAGTGGTGGTTTTTACGTACTGATGAAATGAAGAAGTGAAGAGTGAATATTGCATTGGGTTATACGTGTGCGGGAGGGGACTTTATAAGCGAAGGGTCTTTAACAATGTGGTAACCATTGAAATTCATGTGGCTTGCTGGGGACAGTGTGAGTGTAGGTGTGTAAGTATAATGCGTGGTGACATATGGTAGAAGGGGCTGTGTTCGGGTTATGTGTTTGGCGGGGTCAGTAGTAGAGCGGTCAGTAAAGTTGGTGAGTGTCGGAATTCGGCTTCATGTCGCCGGGCAGGTGCAGCGTGCGTGTAGAATTGTCAGCTACATCCCTCCCGAACGGTTTCCACCTTGCAGTCCCGAACGGGTCCCCCTTGTGGTGGCGGGGGGCTTAGTAACCGTAGCGTGGTCAGCCGCAGTGAACAAAGAGGAACCCACATGGCATGAATGTAGACTTGTCAGCTTTATGTCGCTGGGCTAGTAGAGTGTGTCTGCAGGGCTTTCAGTTGTCATTTGTCAGAATAGCGGTGCTTGTGCAGGAGGGGCGGCGGCTGGGCTACATGTCGCTGGGCGTGCCGCTGGTGGCGGGCGCGCCGGTGCGGCACGAGGCGGGCGCGCTGCCGCTGGAGGTGAGCGCGTACCAGCCGCCATGGAAGGCGCTCTCCGACTTCGCCCTGCACGCCGATCTGGACCGCGCGCCGCACCACAGCGCCGCCTTCCAGCACCTCGTCAGCCAGGTCAGTGCACCACCGCCACAACTATACTTTAACATACAATTGAATTAATTTTACCAGATTTTGTTGCGTGTTATCAAAGATTTCTATCACAATGTTAGAAAGGATAAACTCTCACGGAAATACAGATCATTTATTCACTCGTATGAAAAAGCTATTTAACATACATTACATAAGCGGCTAACTAAATACAAAAGCAGGGTACATTTAATAGCGAGAACGTAAATCAAACAGTACCATTCTTCAATTTAAAATTTATATAAAATCACAATCCGTACGTGGCCATGAGTGCTCTAAAGTATATAAACGTTAGATATATAAAATTAATTAATAATAAGAAAAGACATTAATGTATACTACGACTCGGGCACTATGGTTCTGATATATTGCGCACTAAGTACTTCTATAGTCACCTGAGAGCGGGTGAGAAGACTAGTTCTGAGAAACCGCCTGTACGAAAAAAACTGCTTTTGTTTAACAATGATTAAGAGAATGTTAATATTAATTATATGCGCGTCTTGTCAAAGTATGATTTGAATTTTAGCCTTCAAAAAAGTAAATGTCGTAAATGATTGTACAACTGCGTGACATGTATATGTATCGTGTCAGCTACCCGTCCAGCTGTAGCCCATGCGATTCGCAGGTGTAACACAGTTTTTATTTTGAATTGCCGGTCTAGAAATATACATAAAAGTCTTTGAATTTAACATTTACAACCCAGTAATATACTTAAAAGTCTTTGATTTTAACATTTACTACCCAACGTTTCGAGTACTTTACAGCACCCATGGTCATGTTGTTTAATTCCAATTTTAAACTGAAAGTATCTGTGGTTAACTATGTACATTGAGACGTCGAGCACCTCAGTGCCCCCGTGACCATGATTGCTGTAAAGTACTCGAAATGTTGTGAATATAAAATAAGTTAATATAACGAAATAAAAATCCGTATAGATTAGTTTTTACGGATTTTTATTGGTTCACTATTCTTAGTTCCGGTAAAGGTATCTCCATTTAAAGTTGAGTTAAAGTTACAGCCTATATAGGACTCAATGGGCACAGGCCTCCTCTCATTTCTGAGAAAGTTTTAGGGCAAGGAATTGTCCACCGCGCTGCCCCAATGCGTGTTGGCGAACTGCACATGTCTTCGAAATATTTTTTTTTCTTATTTCTCAGACATGCAGGCCCCTCACGATGTTTTCTTCACCGCCAAGCGCATGATAAAATAGCACAAAAAATTGCAATTAGCAATTTCCTTGGTGCCGGCGGGAATTTAAGTCGGCTTGCTCGCATACTGTGAAATTTATAACTTATAATGCATCCAAAACATCTTTTCAATATTATTAGATCGTTATGTAAGGAGTCATTGCTAATGAAAATCCCACGAAAGGAAATAAAAAAAAAAAAATAAAAAAAAAAAAAAAAAAAAAAAAGCATAGACTTTTTTTCAATATTCACTAGGGTAGATAATGGGATTTTAGCTCAAAAAATGTCTGAAAATGACAAAAAGAAATTAATTCAAGTGATTCTATTACTATGTTGTCCTCTGTTTCCAGTTCCAACCTTTAATAGATTTTGCTTTTATAACTCCCTTATTATCTTGGGTGTTCCACAAGGATAGATCCTTGGTTCTATAATATTTATTAAATGTATAAACGACAGAGAAAAGTTTGGGCATACTATTTTACGCTGGTGACTTAAATTTTATGAGTTCATCAGTTAAGCTCTTTATCTCTCTCTAGCTCTTCTTATTACAGCCTTTAAGTTCGTCCAGTTGTTACCAATCTCTTATCTATTTCTGTCAGCAAGCAGCACTGCACCCACTGCAGTTCTGTTTAAATAGTTGTAGAGCCAGCATAAAGAGAAGGAGAGTTAAATTTACTTGTTAAAAAAACTGATAAGACAAACTAAGCCTGTATTCACAAACATTACTTTTTCAAGTAAAGGAGCGTTACCATGATAAGCAAGATGTTTTTCTGTGCGTTCGGTGTGGAAAGCAATTATTTTCATGAACAATACTCAGAGGACTTTTAGTTGTCCCAACACATAGCTTTGAATGTGACGCTATGATAGGTTAACGTTCTGATGCGACTTCAATTGAGTTAACTGACGGATAAGGAGACATTAAATGATCAACACCAAGGCTGTCATTGTGTAGTTGAATTCTCTGTTTAAATTTTTTCAAACAATACAAGTTAGAAGAAAATATAACAGGTATTAAATTTTAGTCACTGAGACCACAAAGAAAACAAGCTACTAGTTTAATATGCTAATTAACTTATCGCATCACATCTAGCATAATGTAGCTAGGGAGGTTTTTTGTACACAAGTTTTCTTTTTAATAAGTTTTCTGTACTTTCTGCATTTAAGTGCAATTCGAAGCGCATGTGTGAATACGGATGTGAGACATTTTATCTGTGTACTCAGAGGTGACAACTTCTTTGTTTGAAGTTGGCTGCGGGTGTCCATGCCACCATTAGGTAGACCGTCGGTTCACTTGCCACTTTAATATATCCAAAACCTCTGCCGTTTTTGGCTAGTAATCGTAAACGCGGTAACTTATAATCTCGTCCCAGGTTCGAATCCCGGGTCATCCCAAAATTAGTTATTGGGTTTTTCAGTCAAGAAATTCTCAGATTCGGAGTCAGAAAGATTCCGGTGTTTCACCGCCGTGTCTCGGTAAATACGTAGAGCCGGTGGTCCTGCACCTGATCTCTCTTCAGTCATATCAGATTACCGTCCCATCGGACTATGAGAGAGAATAGCGAGTGCTTCTTGTGTTTGCGCACACACTTGGGCACTATAATCCTGTATGCAGATTCCCGTGTGTGTGTGCGCGCGTGTGTGTGTGTGTGTGAGAGTGTGTTTACATTATAATCCTGTCCTAGTATTCGCCGTTGATTGGTCGCCGTGTCCGAAATTCGGCCTTAAGGACATTATTATATTTTAAGTGGCTGACGGATGTCCATGGGCTGAAATATCATTCACTTTCAGTTTATAAACATAATTTGCACAAGAGCAAACAGCCAGACCTGGAACATATATTTGTAGGTCATACAAATACATGTTCCGTGCGGGATTCGAACCTGCGGCCCTTAGTGCCGCAACTCAATGCTATGTTACTGCGCACGTTGCCATTTTAATACATCAAAATATTTGTTTCCAGATGCATGGTTACGATGTACCGTCGCTGCCGCCGCCGCGGCCGGCGCCGGGCGAGGACAACTACGTCACGTACCTCGAGAGCGACGACAGCTTGCCACCCTCGCCCTAGTGCCGTCTCACCTAATCGCCTCCACCAGAGAGGGACGGAAAACAGCGGTTTTTCAAATCGAGAACGAGAACTGTCAAGTTGCCACACTGCGCGGGAACTGTCTATATATGTGCGAATGTGATCAAACCAAACTTGTTTCTTTTTGTTGCTATTGTTGTAATAAATTGTTATATAAAATTATGTTTATTTTTTTTTCAAAATTTAAGAAAAAAAACTATTTTAGTATCGGAACTGATTTCTTGTTCATTTATATTTTATTCATTATTTCATAATTCACAAATGATAGAATTTTTTTTAAATAGTATTTCAACCAAAGACTTCTGTGTATACTACAAGACGGGCTGCGACCAAATACTAGTACAGAAGACATATTAATAGATCTTAAAAATATAACTATTTTTAAGATCTATTATGTCTTCTGTACTCACAAATAAATAAATTTGAATTAAATTTGAATACTTTAGTCGACTGCAAGTGAGCAAGAAGACTGGTTCTTTATTTAGTAAACCGCGAACCATGGAGTGTAGAGGGAGAACAGACTCTATCTCTCCATAGGAAAGCACCAAATAGGGGTGGCGCCACTGTAGCTAGAGGGTAATTTTTAAAGAACTTTTTATTGCACGTACTTTCACCATAATTCTTTTTTATAATAATTATTTTATTGTTTTAAAAATTTTCAAAATCACTCTTTTACTAAATTATTTAAGACAGCGTGAGTAGTTGAGGTTTTAAATGCTGCAGTTTCATCAATTAATCTAGTCACCCCAATTATTAAATTCCTCAACTCAGCACACTCCACTCCTTCGATAAATGCTCTGCTACTGCTGCTGCTGCTACTCTAGCGCTGTTGTGGAGAATTTTTGAACTGACATTTACTGTTTACATATGGACACTTTTCCAACTATTCTCCTATGTGAGACGATTCTCCTTGCTTCTACACTTCATGCCGCGAACATTGTTCTCATGTATCCGCAGTTCCTTGTCTTTTATTTCGCGCGATCCGCAGCTGCGACACAGATTTTGTTCTGAATTGCCGTTTTAGTAGTTATACATAGAAATCTTTGATGTTAATGTCTAAATGTTATGCCGGAATTGTTTCTAACTTAATTACTGGATGAAAGAGTTTTGTTATATAAAGCTGATTGCAAGGCAGTGGGATAGTGCAAAAGGAATTTGAAGATATATCTTGCCAGTTTTATATAAGTAGGGACACACACGTTACAATAATGGAGACACACACGGTCACTTCAACTAATCAGTTGAAACTAGGACTATTGATATTTTTTTAAATATCGGATTTTCGATATATCGACAAATAAAACTCCGATATTGATAAATTCATAATTATCGATATATCGAAAATCCGGTATTTTAAAAATTATCAACAATCCTAGTTAGAACTGATCAGTTGGAATGATCAGTTGAACTGACCGTGTGGGTCAGCCATTAGGGTCGTATCTGCTTTATAAAAAATACATGTTTTTATTTTTATATATCTTTTTTCTCGTCTTTCATGTTATGTGTAAGATATGTTCTATATATTTTGTCGTTGTAGTCAATGATATTTTACAAAGTATGCATATGTTATGTGCAACATATTTATCGTTCGAAAACGTTTTAAATTATGACAACCACACACAAAAATAGCTATAACAGACTAAACTATGATGTTATATTATGAGACTTATAGTTACAATATTTTTGGAATCGGATCAAAAAATAACACCCAAAAACGTGCTTATAAAAAAATGCGCCAAACGTAGTATATGTGAGCTGTGGCTAGAACGTTTTTTGAAGGTCTTCAATTTTGAGATGCAAGGTAGTAACATTGTCTACTTATGTGTTTTCGAAAATTTCATTGGTTGTATAACGATTTCTTATATTTACTACACATTGAATAAAAGTAATCTTCCGTAATTTATCGCGTTTGATTTGACTTATTTAAACGTTTTGGGTGCTTTACAGCATCCAGTCACGCGGACGACTAAGGAGCCCACGTCCCAAAGTCGTAGTTAACCCGGGCTAATATATAGATCGGACCAAAAATTAAATATTCAAAACCAGAAGAAAGCTCGGATTAACTATGACATACAACCCCCTCCCTCCTCCCATGACCATGGGTATTATAAAACACAATCCGTAAAATTAGTTTTATTCAATTGTTTCTAGTTATTAAAATACATTCGATTTATTACTCACGCGTGACACGATGTGCAAAAGAATTTATTTGCTATTTTATGTGATGTTTACCATTAGTTTTACTTATATTAAATTGTAGTTAATTAGTTTACATCTTGGTGTATTATTCATTTTTAAGATCTGGTTTTTATTGTATATAACTTTTCTGTACATAATATTGTATAAAATTAATTATAAATATACATAGACCTTATGTATAAGCTTATTATAAATAAAGATACAAACTTTTAATTAGTTAATTATGTGTATAATCCGTAACAAGCAACCAGTCATTTTTATAATTAAGTATCTGTATTATTTTATCAAACAAATACACTTTAGACTACGGAGTGTAGAGGTAAGAAGTACAGACTCTGTATAAAAAAGTGCCCGGAAAGCGGTAAATAAGAGTGGCGCCTCTGTAGCTACAGTCCAAATTTTAAAGAACTTTTTATAGTTTTTTACTGCACAGAATTTCACCATAATTCTTTTTACAATAATTATTTTATTTTCAAAATCACTCTCAACGTATTTTACGGCGATTTATCATACTCTGCAGCTACTCGAGCGCTGTTGTGGAGAGTTTTTGAACTGTTATTTACTACACATATTCAACTATGCTCCTATGGGAGATTGTCCTCCTTACGTCTATACTCCATGCTTTAGACTTTCGGAATAAGTATTTTATATGCATATTCAAAAGCCTTAAAGCACAAATATATCACTTGTGCATTATTTTTAAATACCTTAACACTCCTGACCTCTAAAAAACATACCTATTAAGGCTATTTCAAAAACATACTTTTTTGTGTTTCTAAAACATAGCAAGACCATCTACAACTGTATTATTTTTTAACAAAATTATGGTGTGGTTTATGCTATAACATCTGCAACATATTAATTTAATAATTTAAAAGCACTGACACCGTAAAAACAAGTATGATTTCCTATTTAAAGGCGTCAAGGGGTTTTTTTTTATTAACGGCAACAGTTTTTAAAATTTTACCTATTTTTCAATATTTGAACATTATCAAATTATAGGCTTTAATTGTTTTATAGGTTTTATACAAATTTCAACACGATATACTTTTGACTTGAACGTTTTGTAAATGCAAAAATGGCAACGCGTTATTTAATAGGAATTACCAGGCGTTTAATTTATTCTGTAGCAAAATCTATAACACTGTACTTAGATTGTGAGCATAATATTTAATAAAACATTGAGTACCTAAGAATTTGTCTTATTAATTACCCTCCTCATACTTCAAAATGTAATTTATAATAGCAATTAACAATTTTATTGGCGCCTGCGGGGATCGAGCACGTGTTGTTCGATTACTGTGAAATTTGTTAAAACTAAACGCTATAAAATATCCGTACGCTAATATTAATATTAATTTTAATTATAGTGTCTAACCCTTAATTAAAATTAATATTATGTATCATATATCATACGCATAAATATATCCTAAGAACGGTGGCAGATGATCCACTTGGTATTACTAATACAGTGTATGATAATTGTTGTAAGTGTCGACCGCACGAAGTGCTTCTTAGGTACAACATGACAAATTAGAATTTATAATATTATATAATTTAATTTAAATTGTTTTCATAATACTAATATATAGTACTGTTTTTTTTTATAATACTAAGTACTAACACATGAACCTTTGTTGTCTGAAATAAATGAATTAGAATTTGATATAGTAAAAAAATATTAGTATGTTTAAACTCGTAATTTCGACATATATCGCATCCCTTCGATAGCTCAGTTGGTAGAGCGGTGGACTGTAGCTGTATAAATAATTGTGATCCATAGGTCGCTGGTTCAAATCCGGCTCGAAGGATATTTTTTGATACAATTTTGTAACTAAATATTGTTATTTATAACTAGCCGCGTGCTCATAAGTACAAATCAGTACGTGATCCAAAAGGTATGGGCGCATAAATAGACAAAATTTGGCTTCGATTGCTTGTTTATTGCAAACGAAATACTTTTTCACAAATTTATTAAATTCTTTGATACAATAAAAATATACCCGATGACTTTTTTACCATGAGTAAATTATCGGTCAAGGCAGAAATAGGAATACAAATAAAAAGTTTTTTATTCAATACAGATTATAAATAATACATCTTGAAAGTCACTCTTATGTTTAAGTTACCACTTTGTCAGAAAATACCTCTGTCCGGGGATGAACCAGCAAAAAATCCAGCGGGACATTTTTTTGATAAATTATGAACAGTTGAATATTTTACACATTTATTAACAACAAAAAACAAATTAGACATAACTTTGTACCGGTCACCTCATTCCCAGTGGTTTTTATCATTTGTCATCCATAAATTCCTTAATATTTTAATAACGCTTTAAGTACGATCTTTATTTAAAAAAGTTTTTGAACTCGGTGGAGTCAGATTTTGTACGTTTTCTGGGATTTTCCGTAAAAGCGTATACATCGCCCTAAGTAAAAAAAAAAACAGAAAGGCATAGATAATTATTAAATTTCTTTTTACAGCATTTTATCAAACTGGTCTAAGAATACCCATTAGTGGCCAAAATCAAATAAAAAACGTTTTTAACCAAAAATATTTATTTTGTTAATCTGAGCAGGACTAGTAAACATAAAATGAAACAAAAAAAATGTTTTTATACTTTTTCAGGGGTGTACTTGTTTGAGTACAGCGGCCACTTATGTGTGAAATTTTCCGAAGCATGACTTTTCAACGCAGAGTGTTTTCAAATACTTCTTGCATCCCTATCAGACCCTTGCATGGCAAATGACGCACCGTAATTGCTTTTCAAGCTTCTTTGGGTAGTGGCCTAAACCATCTTGAGGCAGTCCTTTGACCAAAGAAGAAGATGATCTGGCTCTGTTTAGAGTTTCTTGTCGCAAATAGTATCCGGCATGTAAACTCCAAGCGTTTGAAACGGTCATGTTCAACAAGTATGTAAATAAATCCCACCACCATTTTTTGCCAGGAATCCCGATCCTGTATAATGATATGGACTGATTAAGCTCATCGACTCCACCTCCATTCCACTCCTCCATTGTAGGTAGTTTTCAAATAAAAGCGGAATCCTTATATTGGTTTTCTCTCTTATTTATGGGCACCATCTTTTTCCCGTGCTCATTGGTTCAAAGTAATCATAGTTAGTAAAACAAATACGCCCCATTGATTGAATTTGGTCATCAGTATGTCGGTTAGGGATCTAATTTTGAACATTTTATCTCTAGAACTTGATGCTTCATCATTATTTACAAGATGAAGATATCTTTTTATTTCACTAAATTTATTTCTCGATATAGCTCTTGAAACTAGCGCAACTCTGACGTCCTTATCCATCATCAGTCAGTCACTAGTCATCAACATAATGCTTCCCGAGACAATTTGTGATATCCTGACAAATACAAAATACCAATGAACTTTTTTAGGTCTGGTAAACTAAGTTGAAAAGAGTGTCTATTGTCTTGATTAGCGTACAAAATACTGTTAGATAATATGAGCTGTAATACTTCTTCATCCAGTATTTTTTCAAAAATCTGTACAGGATTTTGGTCTTTCAGCTGTTCCTTTATAGAATTTTTTTATCTTACATCTCAGATATATGCTGATGGCCAAAAGTATAGGATGATGAACATTTTCGCCAGGCTGGAGCTTACTGCCACTGCTAAATGTTATGCTTCCGGCGAACTCGTTTTACGGTCAATGGTTCTTCGTTACTGAAATCATATTCGGTTGAAAAAGTACCTTCATCGCGTACCATAACCTCAATATTTCCGGGCACATCTCGTGGCAACGTATACGTCACCATACCTTCATCAGACCCTTCCTCTTCGTCAGTCAAGAAACTGGAATCAGGTGGTATTATCGACAAATCATATTCACGGTCATCATCACTATCTGCTGTGATTGCTGCAAATGCTTCCTCATGTCCTATAAAGCCATTTGTACCGAAAAACATCTTACGACTCATTGTTGGGAAACTGAAACAAAGTTGTATTTTTTATCTATTGAAGTAACCAGTGTACTCAACTGAGTACATTAGTAAAAATCTTCATCTAAAGTTAGTAATAAACAATAACTCTTTCAAATTTGTATTACACATTATAGACTACACTATATCTTATCACAATTATTACAAAAAACAACATTTACTCAAATAATAATAATAAAATATAACAAAATTACTACTCACTTCCACGCTAGTCCAATAACGTGAAATCCGGTTGCTCCAAACGACATATATATTAGAAATACCCTCAGTTTGCACGACTCAAAAAAATATGAGTTTACCCTCTATTTCATTTATTAACATAAAAACTAATAAGCCCTCACAGATTTACTCAATTATTTTTAAACAACTGTACTCGTTTGAGTACAGCGACAGAGAATGGGTTAAATAGTACTAATTTACAAACTAATTTGAAGAAAGTTTTTTTTATCTGGCGAACGGTTCAAAGGCAATGTCATAAGTTACAAATTCATTGATACAAACTTACTACGCGTAAATTAGGACGCACATGATTTAAATTTTTCTATATTAAATCGATTTTTTTTAAAATTGAAAAGTGTTTTTTAAAAATCAGTTTCCTTTAAAAAATGCAAAATATTTCTGTCATAGACTTTCTTCGTTCACATAATACACATTATATGAAAATAAAAATGTTGTGTTCCTCGGGGCTCGATTCTTGGCCCATTTCTGTTCATAATACAATGACTTATTATATCTTGTAGGGAACAATCCCGTTACAGTATTATTTGCTGATGATACCTCTTTTATTTGCAAACTCAAACGACAGTCAATTAATTTTGACAATGTAAATAATGCTCTATCGCTGATTTAGATATGATTACATTGGTTTAACGCCAACGATTTGCTCTTAAACGACAATTATGCAGACTCTGTATAAAAAAGTGTCCGTAGGAAAGCGCTAAATAAGGGTGCGCTAAGTAATAATTTTAAAGAGGTTTTATAATTTTTTTATTGCACAGACTTTTTTTTTATAGGATAGGGTGACAAACGAGCACACAGTCCACCTGATGATAAGTGGTCACTGTGGCCCATAGACAACTACATCTATCCTCGATTACGTATCAAAATGCAGATGCGTTGTCACCCGTGAGGACTAAGATGGAATGCCTCGCTTCCAGTAAAAAGGGTCTCCGGTTCTCTACACTCACCATACGAAATACACCAGCATTAAGCTACTATTTCACGCTGGTATTCTGTGAGAGCATGGTCCTTCCCCGGTCGAGCCGACCCATTCGTGCTACAACTATACTACTAATATAACTGCAGCATGGCTCTACCACGTATAAAACTTTATAAGACTTTCACCATAATTCTTTTTACAATAGTTATTTTATTGCTTTCAAAATTTTTATTTTCAAAACCACTCTCAACGTATTTTACGGCGATTTATCATACCCTGTAGCTCCTCGAGCGCTGTTGTGGAGAGTTTGTAAACTGTTATTTACTGCTTACAGATGGACACATTTTCAACTATTCTCCTTACCTCTATACTCCATGTACAATAAGATAAAATGTATTATTTTATAATACCTAATGTTATAATAATGTACAACACGGTCACAATATCTTGCACCTCGCTCGATGACGGCCTTATAATGACGTCACATTCACGGTACGGTGTTCTAAATAAGCAAGCATTTCTAGAAATACGATATTTTTTACCCGACTGCCGGATGTATATGTTTTGAGTATATATTTATGAGGCTTTGGTTTTAGTGGCGGAAACTTATTAAATTCTTTGATACAATAAAAATATACATGATGACTTTTTTACCATGAGTAAATTATCGGTCAAGGCAGAAATAGGAATACAAATAAAAAGTTTTTTATTCAATACAGATTATAAATAATACATCTTGAAAGTCACTCTTATGTTTAAGTTACCACTTTGTCGGAAAATACCTCTGTCCAGGGATGAACCAGCAAAAAATCCAGCGGGACATTTTTTTGATAAATTATGAACAGTTGAATATTTTACACATTTATTAACAACAAAAAACAAATTAGACATAACTTTGTACCGGTCACCTCATTCCCAGTGGTTTTTATCATTTGTCATCCATAAATTCCTTAATATTTTAATAACGCTTTAAGTACGATCTTTATTTAATTAAGTTTTTGAACTCGGTGGAGTCAGATTTTGTACGTTTTCTGGGATTTTTCATAAAAGCGTATACATCGTCCCAAGTAAAAAAAAAAACAGAAAGGCATAGATAATTATTAAATTTCTTTTTTATCAGTATTTTATCAAACTGGTCTAAGAATACCCATTAGTGGCCAAAATCAAATAAAAAACGTTTTTAACCAAAAATATTTATTTTGTTAATCTGGGCAGGACTAGTAAATTTAAAATGAAACAAAAAAATTTTAATTATTTTTTTATACTTTTTCAGGGGTATTGTTTGTTTACAGCGGCCACTTATGTGTGAAATTTTCCGAAGCATGACATTTCAACGCAGAGTGTTTTCAAATACTTCTTGCATCCCTATCAGACCCTTGCATGGCAAATGACGCACCGTAATTGCTTTTCAAGCTTCCTTGGGTAGTGGCCTAACAGAAACAGAAACAGAAAGTTTTTTTATTCAATGTAGATTATAAGCAATACTTATTGAAAGTCAATTTTTTCATTTACCACTGGTTCGCAAAAACAAACCTCTGTCCTGGGAAAAACCAGCAAGAAACCCAGCGCGACTATTTTTTTTTAAATAATAGCTTACAATCATGTTTACAATTAACAACACAACACAAATTAGAAAAGCTTGGTAGCGACACCCTTCCCAGGGGTTACTATCATCCATAAATTCCTTAATATTATATTAACCCTTTTTATACAAACTTAACCATCTTGAGGCAGTCCTTTGACCAAAGAAGAAGATGATCTGGCTCTTTTTAGAGTTTCTTGTCGCAAATAGTATCCGGCATGTAAACGCCAAGCGTTTGAAACGGCCATGTCCAACAAGTATGTAAATAAATTCCACCACCACTTTTTGCCAGGAATCCCGATCCTGTATAATGATATGGACTGATCAACCTCATCGACTCCACCCATACCTTTATTATAGGTAGTTTTCAAATAAAAGCGGAATCCTTATATCGGTTTTCTCTCTTATTTCTGGGCACCATCTTTTTTCCGTGCTCATTGGTTCAGAGTAATCATAGTTAGTAGTACAAATACGCCCCATTGATTGAATTTGGTCATCAGTATGTCGGTTAGGGATCTAATTTTGAACATCTCTGGAATTTGATGCTTCATCATTATTTACAAGATGAAGATAACTTTTTATTTCACTAAATTTATTCCTCGTATAGCTCTTGAAACTAGCGCAACTCTGACGTCCTTATCCATCATCAGTCAGTCACTAGTCATCAACATAATGCTTCCCGAGACAATTTGTGATATTTTAAACTTTTTTAGGTTGAAAAGAGTGTCTATTGTCTTGATTAGCGTACAAAATACTGTTAGATAATATGAGCTGTAATACTTCTTCATCCAGTATTTTTTTCAAAAATCTGTACAGGATTTTGGTCTTTCAGCTGTTCCTTTATAGAATTTTTTTATCTTACATCTCAGATATATGCTGATGGCCAAAAGTATAGGATGATGAACATTTTCGCCAGGCTGGAGCTTACTGCCACTGCTAAATGTTAGGCTTCCGACGAACTCGTTTTACGGTCAATGGTTCTTCGTTACTGAAATCATATTCGGTTGAAAAAGTACCTTCATCGCGTACCATAACCTCAATATTTCCGGGCACATCTCGTGGCAACGTATACGTCACCATACCTTCATCAGACCCTTCCTCTTCGTCAGTCAAGAAACTGGAATCAGGTGGTATTATCGACAAATCATATTCACGGTCATCATCACTATCTGTTGTGATTGCTGCAATTGCTTCCTCATGTCCTATAAAGCCATTTGTACCGAAAAACATCTTACGACTCATTTTTGGGAAATTGAAACAAAGTTGTATTTTTTATCTATTGAAGTAACCAGTGTACTCAACTGAGTACATTAGTAAAAATCTTCATCTAAAGTTAGTAATAAACAATAACTCTTTCAAATTTGTATTACACATTATAGACTACACAATATCTTATCACAATTATTACAAAAAACAACATTTACTCAAATAATAATAATAAAATATAACAAAAACACTACTCACTTACCACGCTACTCCAATAACGTGAAATCCGGTTGCTCCAAACGACATATATATTAGAAATACCCTCAATTTGTACAACTCAAAAAAATATGTGTTTACCCTCTATTTCATTTATTAAAATAAAAACTAATAAGCCCTCACAGATTTACTCAATTATTTTTAAACAACTGTACTCGTTTGAGTACAGCGACAGAGAATGGGTTAAATAGTACTAAATTACAAACTAATTTGAAGAAATTTTTTTTATCTGGCGAACGGTTCAAAGGCAATGTCATAAGTTACAAATTCATTGATACAAACTTACTACGCGTAAATTAGGACGCACATGATTTAAATTTTGCTATTTTAAATCGATTTTTTTATTTTCAAAAGCTTTTTGAAAATTTTAAAGTGTTTTTTAAAAATTAGATTACTTTAAAAAATGCAAAATATTTCTGTCATAGACTTTCTTCGTTCACATAATACACATTATATGAAAATAAAAATGTTGTGTTCCTCCGGGCTCGATTCTTGGCCCATTTCTGTTCATAATACAATGGCTTATTATATCTTGTAGGGAACAATCACGATACAGTATTATTTGCTGATGATACCTCTTTTATTTGCAAACTCAAACGACAGTCAGGTAATTATGACAATGTAAATAATGCTCTATCGCTGATTTAGACATGATTACATTGGTTTAACGCCAACGATTTGCTCACACGACAATTATACAGACTCTGTATAAAAAAGTGTCCGTAGGAAAGCGCTAAATAAGAGTGGCGCTACTGT